GACGTGTGCTCTTCCGATCTCTTAAAGGCACACTAATAGGGACACTTACCCTATAGGAAGTTACATGGATGTCTAATGGAGGTTTCGAATATCTATGAAGAACGTCTAATGGATGTCTAATAGAGGTTTTTGTTCTGTGTGGGATATAATAAAAACAGATGTACAGCTTCTGCCTCACAGAAATCACTCAGTACATTTACAGAATTTACTTGACAGTATAGGTTATGACAAACCGAAACTACCCGCCACTTTTATTACTTTCATGCTTTTAGGTTATAAACTAAAAGTTACTAAAAATATTTTCTAGTACTTTTGCGATACTGCCATAAACCATTCCTTTAACATTCGGTGAATAAGAGAGAGTTCACATTATAGTGGAAATGCATGAATGCGAAAAGGCAGATAATGTGAAATTGAACTTAGCTACCAAATACTACACTTAATTGCTAATACTTAGTAACTAAGTGCAACTTCTGGTTTCTGCCTTTCAGCATTCTGCTTTTCTGTACCAATGCAGTGAATCCTCCCTAATAAAGATGTATAAAAAAAAAATGATATACCGCGAATTTTGGAACGCAGTCGGGATGTGTTTTTCTCACGTAATTATTTCAATTGTTTTTATTTCTTCACGATTGCTTATCAAGGATCTCATATTCCATGATTGATCTCCGTCTTTAGTGAATCATGTCAATAAGTATATACTTAACATATATTATTAAAGTGATATTATTAAATAGAAAAAAGTAAATAAATTAATTCAAAATAATTATAAATTATTTACATCTTTTAAGAACAATAAAGAAAAATGCAATACGAAATCAGGCGAAGAAAAAGAAAATTGTTCTGGACAAAGGAATCCTAGATCACACAGGTTAGTTTACCATTATTTTTTTAATAGTAACTGTTAAATGAATGTTTTTATAAAAAAAATATGAGCAGTCCATTAGTAGACTGCTGGCAGATTTGAGCAGAATATGACAATTTTCCATCAATTGCAAGTGCATTAGATTCTTGTTCTGACATAATTTGTCGATATGATGTAACGCCAAATTAGTGACAAATTAATACATTCTGTAAAATATGTAATACATATATATATATATTGCTTTACATAAACAATATATTATATATATATATATATATATATATATATATATATATGTACGTATGTATAAATGTATTTTATGTTTGTTACAGCTGTATTGCAGCGGAACAACATGGGACTACATCCGAAAAAGAAACAGAGTATTATAAATTATAATTAAATAACAAAAAATCTATGTATATAATATATTATTAATAATAATGATATCATAGATAATAATGTACTATTATTTTTTTTTAGAGTAGAAGAAATTCCACTAGGGCAACGTATACGGACACAATATTTATCAGATCATGCTTCATATGATTTTAGTAAACATGATCGCGATCGTCCAGTTCGAAATATTGCATTTTGTCGCCAAGTACAGAATCGCACTTCTCTGCACGAACGTCATTCACACGATGGCACGTCCTACGATCGTCGAATGAGAGGTTCCACTTCTTATTCACACAATCGCATTTCTAACAATGGCAGGTTACGAGATCATACTTGTCGCGAACATCGCTCACGGGATCGCACGTTTCGCGATCGCAATATGCGGGATAGCATCTCTTGCGACCGTCGTTCGCTAGAGCGCATCTCCCGCGATCGTCGATCACGAGATCGCCCCTCTCGCGATCGACGGTCACGGGATCGCACCTGTCACGATCAACGGTCGCGGGATTGCACCTCTCGCGATCGACGGTCGCGAGATTGCACCTCTCGCGATCGGCAATCGGGAGATCGCATTTCTCGTGATCACCGTTCGCGGGATCGCACCTCTCATGATCACCGTTCGCGGAATCGCACCTCTCGTGATCAACGTTCGCGGAATAGCGTCTCTCGCGACCATCATTCCCGGGATCGCATCTCTCGCTAATATTGGTCACAGACTATTTCTCCTGATCACCGTCACGATTCACGAAATCGTACGTCTCAAAACAATTTCCATCATTGGCCAAGAAGTCGATATATGACATATAGTAAGTAAATAATCTATAATTCTTTCTATACATTTTTTATAATAGATATAATATATAAGATTTTTTAAAATAATTAAATATATTTCAGATGTACGCGGTACTCGTGCCGGCAGATGGATTCAACATAAAAGAGAAAGGATATTAAAACACCTCGTTAATGTTCTAAGTCGATAAACAATATTGATTATAATAACAATAACATTGATAGAATTACATTCTTCAGGCTTTCACGGGTATTGTCTATATAGAGGTGATAACAGATTTACAGGTTTTGTCCGTATCTTCTTACATTAATTAATTCTTAATTAATGTTATGCCAGACATAACATTAAGAATGTATCAAGACATGGAGAAAACCTATAAACCTGCTAGCACTTTTATTAATAGAATATTTGAAATGCATACGGAATTTAATTTGATAATAGTCTTACTGAATACTTTTTTATTTTTATTTTTAGTCTGAAGGATTATTAAGCAATATTGTTATTGTACGTACTTTTTTATCAAACAACACTATTATTATAACGCATTTAGCTTTCTACTCAATTTTTTATCAGATCCAACATTACTTTCAAGATTATTATTATTTTTATTTTTAAATAAGTACACCAGAGATCGGCAAAAAATTAATAATAAATTAATATTATTTGATTACTAGATTAATAAGTAATTAAAATAAAAAAATTTTTGATTACTTGAATAATCGTTAATCAAA